TTTTCTGCCTCTGCAGCTAAAATCACGTTATAAAGATTACTTTTGGAAGAATCACTTTATGCGACAAATCGTCGCGCAAGTGTCAATGTTTTTTTTTTTTTTTTTGCAAAATTCTCTTTTTCATTTTCTTTATAATTTAATAATGTAAACTATTTGCATGACGAACACTATATTCGTCACGCAAGTTGCATTATTTTTTTCCGTTTTCTTTCTAACTAATGTAAATTTTTTTTATCCAATTAAAATTATTAAACCAAATTATATATTATCAAAATATTTATTAAAACTAATTTATTAACAAAAATATATATTATAACTAATGTAAACTTTAAATCATCCATGTAACATAAATTTTAAAAATAAGCCCAACATAATGTTCAAATAAATCCTATTTCATAAATAAAAAAATAAAAACTAAATTAAGTTCACTCTTCCTCTAGGTCATCAGCAGGGACATCAGCAGCGACATCGTCAACTCATGTGCGCTCTGCAACCCACTGTACATTGAACTTCCACTGCCGGAACTGCATCTTGAAAATGTCATCCACATACTTATGCTGCTTCTCATCGGTTTCATCAGCATCTCAAACAACCTGTAATGGCCATAAAATTAAATTAGTTATCACAAAAATATTATTTTTAAACAAAAACAATTACACATTCTTTAATACAAACTTACCGATAACTCATGCACCATGAAGTTCTTCAAGTCCACATGCACCATGCACCAATCCCCATATATCGAACCTAGGTTTGGCGGACAATTTAGCCAAACTTTTGTCATCAAACGAGGGCAATCACTTACGTTGGTACCTCTCTATTGTCATCATAGCTTTCCTCATTTTTTTTCCTACCACAAAAATTTAAAACGTAATAGCCTATTAAAACAATAATTTCAACCATATCAAATGTAAAACAACTAATTCAACAATAATTTTTTTTTTTTTTACCTTTCCCTTCACGAGAGCCTTCTCCCTTGCAACTTTTCGTTGAATCTGAAACCGAATCGGCCATCATTTGAAACAAAACCTTTTGTAAAATAGGATTCTAAAACTGTGTTTAAAGCGTGACTGACTGTTTTCATCAACACTTTGCGCAATGAATATGTAGAAAAATTCGTCGCGCAAACTTTTGGCGCCAATTTTATTTACCAGCCTTTTCTTGCACGACAAAAACATTCATCGCGTGAAGTTTTTTTTCTTCTGAATTCTTCCGATGTTTGTGCGACCTAAATGTGTTTCCGTCGTGCAAGTTACACTTACGTGACGAAATCTTGTTCGTCGCGCAAGCTGTTTTTTTTACTAGTGAATCCAAGCTACCAAGAAACAGAAAAGTTCTTTCTTCATCAATATCCTTATGTCGAATTATTGCATCTCATAATATTTCATCAAAATTAACGATAATCAGATATTGTTACTATTCGTTTGAGATGAGTACTGTTGGACTGTTTTGATGTACTCAGATCGGTTTCCAAAATACATTGTAGTAGGTGGAATTCAAAACCAAAACAAACAAACAATAACAACTTCCGATTTAGGCAAGTGAAGCTGGCAACGGCATTGTTTGATTTGAACGCGGTGCATGTCTCTCTCCGGTGGCCAAGGGCGGAGCCAAGTACAAGGCTCCCCTAGGCTATAGCATAGGGAGAGTTTGGTTTCTCAAGCTTAAAAATATTAATTTTTAGGTTAATTTATGATTTTTAATCGTCATATTTTACATAAGAAATGAAATTTTTTATTAGTGAGCCTATTTTTAAGAATAATAAGAGTTAATGATGTTAAATAAACTCATCACTTTAACCAATATTATATTTAATAGTAATAAATTAAAACTTTCATATCATAAATGGTTCTTTATTTTATTCACTTGAAAGCTTTGAAAGCTAGAAACCTAGAAAACATAGCATAAAATTCTTGCTTCAAATTACTACATTCAAGTTTTTACTATTATATAATTTGATGTAGGCAACATAAGATTAAAAACTTGATTTCATAGTAATAATTTTAACTTAATCCACCCACTGAATAATTTTAACTTAATCCACCCACTGAATAATTTCTGGTTACGCTATTGCCAGTGGCCAATGCATTAATAAAAGAGTTCCAACAAAGCTTCTGTCGGTGTGTTCTGGATTTTCGTTCGAAATCTAATTATCTAATTGAATTAATTAAATGTAGTGCCGGAAAAAGGTGCGTTAAGACCGAGAGAATCAGTACAGTTTCTGACTGTTGAGTGTTACAGAGTCTTCACTGCAGAGAAAGAAGGCTTAGGAATGAGGTTGTCAGTGTGTCTCAGCAGCAGCGTTGAAAAAATACCCAGACGACAAAAGTAGCCATTTTCCATTAACTTTGGTGATTTATTACGACATTTGTTAAACCCATATATAACAACTTCAACGGCACGGACCACTGACCACTTCATTTACTAATCATTTATTTTTCACTGATAGAGATAGAGTGTGTGTGTGTGTGTGACAACCTACCTTGGTACGTGCGACTCCAATCCAACGTCTACTTATAATTTGAATTAGCATCGCAGCATGGAGTTAAACTATGAGCAACATGATTTAATAAATCACATCAAATTAGGTACATCATCATTTCATCAAATGACATTGGTCTTTATTCTTCAAAAGTAGTAATAAGTTAAAAGTTTTGTGAGCGACAGTCGCAGATTGATTCAAATAAGAAACATTAAAATCAAAGTTTTCTACTATAGAAGTTTGATTATAAACTTTACTAGTAGAGTGAGCTAAGTAGTATTTGTTACGTAGTTTTGACACCTTACGAGGACAGTAAGCTGAGTAGTATTTGTTGGGATCCGCAACAAACTTCTTGATCTATTCCTTTTCCCCCTTTTGTTTTTGGTTGTAGTCGCTCTCATTATGTTGAGGTGAGGCTTCAATTCAAAGTTGTGGTCGCTCTCTTACTTTATGAAAGAGAATTTTCGTGGTTGTGGTAATGGTCATGGTGTGTTTAATCTCATATTCTAGAGCCGTTATTGTTGTTCAAATGTGAGGTGGTGGTGTTTGTGGTTTGTACGCACAACAAATGACTATGAGAAGGAAACTGAACATTTGTTGGAAATGACTTATAGTAGGGCTTCTTTACCAATGATTGCAAAATAATCAGAGATTGGTGTAGTCTTTTCCTCGTGGAGCCTCTAAGGGTCTTCCATGATTGAAATTTTTTTGTGTTTGTAATTGTAGGGTTTGGTGTTATTTTGACATGTGTAGTCTCTTAAATTGTTTTAAGAAACACGTTAACATGTATGTCGTAGGTATGTTTTTTTATTATTTTTAATGCAACTTGTTTCTCTAAAAAAATTCTCGATTGGAATCTAGAAATATAAAATATAAAAAATTTATTCATATGCTTGACCTTGGTTCCTAATCTACTTCTCAATTAATCATTCCAAATTTTGGTTAAACTCATTTATACGGAGGAGGATGGGGCCAGACCCGCGACACCTACAATTTCCCTTGATATAAAATACACTACAACAGTGGGTTTGGACATTTTCAAGATTTAAGCATGTTTTGGACGTCTACACCTACCATAAGCCTACAACAAGTAACCAAGTTACCAACTACAACTTCATCCACACCTCACTCAAACTTGCAACACCTCTCTCTCTCTCTCTCTCTCTCTCTCTCTCTCTCTCTCTCTCTATGAGGCCGTTATACTATTCAATTTGATTTTATTTTATACAATAATCTTCTACTTGATGGGGAGATAATATTCTACTCCACAGAAGCAAGGGGATTGAGCTGAACCATAAAATAAATTGGTATTAAATTATAAACAAACATAATACGTTTTTGTCATTTATATAAGTCGAACCTGAAACCTTTTATTTACAAAATGAAAAAAAATACTACTAAAACTTAGTACTAATTAGTTATTCAAATTGATCTTTGAATGTTCAATGAAATTGTGATGTCAATAATCATATAAACCAAATATAAATATCATTAAACAAGCCCTTCAAGCTTAATATTTTAAAGCAAAATCTTGTTAATTTGCAATAAGAGAAGGCACCAAAATGGCTTTGTAAATAAGTTAAATTAGAAAGTGATGAGTAGCTAGTTGATGGATTTTCTCATCCAATTGTACTTTTTTAAGGCCTCGTTTAGTAGAGAGGATTAGATTGAAATGCACAACTCTCTAATTTCACACATATTAAAAGTAGAAGGATTAGATGAGGATTATACATGAATGAAGGGAACTTCTCTTTTGTAATGCAACCATTTTGTGAAGGTTTGTAATGATAAATTTTCTTCATGAGTAACTCATCTCCTACCAAATTGGTCACAATTTTTTCATTCATTCCTTCAACATAGTTAAAAAATAGTGTATTATCAAATTCAATCTAATTTCCATTTTCTACACCACAAGGGGCCCAGGTGTATTGTTATAAGGGTACTTTTTTTCTTTCAAATTTACTAATAAAATTATCCTTTCTTCTTTCCAACTAAACTCAATGCTCAAATGGGCAAGGGTAGGATATAAAGTGGAAGATTTATGAAGTTCAATTATTATTGTTTGAAAAAAAAAAAACTAAGCTAAAAAAATGAAGTATTGCCACTTAATATTCCTCTTCATTTGTAAGTGAGATATCTTATGTTTAATTCTCGTCAAAGGTGAATTTAAACCATGTTATTGTTAGTCCATTGTGAGGCTTAGCCATCTCCCACCCTCTTAGTATAGATAATATCGTTTGTACAAAAAAAAAAAAAAAATGAAAGAATTGTAAGTTTTTTGTGTCAAAAGTGATTTTCTTTTGATCATTTCTGTAAATTCTAGACAGATACTAGAAGACTAAAATGGTCAAAATATAAGGAGCAAACGTTAATATATGATCTAACACAAAAAAATATCATTAAAATAAAGACCATGAAACCGTATTCAAATTCCAATAAAACCATAAAATAAAAGACAAAGGGACCATGGACGATGCCAATAAATTTGCCCAAACAAAATCAACAGCAGCTTTCATTTGAAATCCCTGTTTCTTGCACTGAACGAGGTTGCACGCTTTCTCTCACACCTCTCCTCTCTCTCTCTCTTCTCTCTCTCTCTCTCTCTCTAACCCCCAGATGTTAAGCTACAGCCTACAGTATACCAACAAACAAAATGAAGCCTAACGTCTAGTTTTCTTCATTCCTTTCATTTCCAAACCCATAAGGAACACAAAGTTTGTGTCTTTTCTAATCGACTGCAATGTCATCCTCCTCTGCAACTGCATTAACAGCAACAAGAAGGCTAAAATGGCAGTATCCACCACCCCAACCAACCCCAAGAATCCTCCACCTCCCGCGGAGGCCACGCCGGAGAGCTCCCAAGAGCGTCCATGGTGGAAAACCCAATTCAGGGGAGGCCAAGAAGGACCACATGGGAAAGCTGGAGGCTCTGTTCGATCAAGAGAGAGCGTTTTCGAGAACCCATTTGCCGGTTGTGCTTCTTGAGTGTGGGGATGGGGAGGAGAGAGAGAGGAGGAGAGAGAGGGTTAGAGAGGGGGAGGATGATGATGGTGGTGGTGGAGTGGTGGAGGAGGAGAGGTGGAGGTTTCAGGCTGAGATGTTGAGGGCGGAGTGTAATTTGTTGAGGATGGAGAAGGAGATTGCTGTTAAGAAAATGGAGAGGACCAAGGTTAAGATGGAGAGGACTCTTAAATCTGCTGTGCACACTCTTGTTTCCGTAAGTCCCCTCTCTCTCTCTCTCTCGTTTTGTTTTGTTTCGTTTTTATTTACGTTGGTTTTGAATTGTCTGTTTGGCTGATGAGAAAATGCTAGAAAGAGAAGGAAAACCCAACAGGGTTTTTCTGTTTGGTTGCTCAGAAATTATACGGAATTAAAAGCAAGGAAAAAATTCAAATCTTAAGCCGTGCTTCTTCTGCATTCATAGTTGTATTCTTATTATATTCCTGCAAGTTTTTTCTTCAAGAATGAGTGACAATGGCATTGTGTGCGACAAATTTTGATGTTGAGACCGGTTTTCAGGGGCGAAAGAAGATTTGTGACGGAAAGAATATTAGTATCGTATTGGAGGAAGAGATTCAACACTTGGCAGAGAAACTAGAGAAGTTGCAAAGAAATTTAGGAGTTAAGGATTTGGAGGTTCGGAAGAACTCTGGTAATTTTGATAAACAAGCCTATCTTCTCCAAAGACAGCTTCAGAAGTTTAAGAGGACATCAGATGAGATATGTGTGAAGGAGATCCAAGAGATGGCAGAAGCAAGCCTGTCGATCAAAACAAGCTCTCGAGTAAATGAGAACTCGGTTTCAAGTGGCAAATGCAATGTGAACATTATCTGTCTTTCGTTGATCTTGCTTTGATACTTCAATTTCTTAGCTCCATATTTTGTACGAGAGAATTAAGGACACGGCATGACCTTGAATCTTATGATTTACATTGTTATAATGTGTGTGTCAATTCTCAACTGGATCAAGTTAGTTTTTACTTTAAAATTGATAAAGCGAGGAGATTCTCGATAGCCAGGCATGCATTGTTTTGCTCCATGATTTGCATAGTTTTATGTGCCTAATCGATTCCATAAAAAATACTACGCAGGTGGAGATTCTGAGAAGGAAAATGGAGGGATTGTCGAAAGGGATGTTATTAGAGAAGATGAAGGAAGAGTATGGTTCAATGCTGTCTACGGCCAATAGTTCAGTTGCCAGTTCTGCCTCTTCTTCCCAGAGAATTGAAGCCGCAAATTTGTCCTCTTCCTTGGTACAACAATTTCATTGGGTAAATCCTTGCAAGAGATTGACTAATTTATTGAATAAAGAAAACATTGTTAGTAGACAGAATTTAAAGGTTGACAATTTGCTCTGCAGGAGAAAGAGTCTCGTGAAGAGAACGTGTGCTCAGGACGTTGCAAGGCAATAGTTCGAAGAATTGTAGAGCAAGTACGAGTAGAGACAGAGCAATGGTCTCAGATGCAGGAGATACTGGGGCAGGTGAGGGAGGAGATGGTTGAATTGCAGACTTCTCGGGACTTTTGGGAAGATCGGGCTCTAGATTCTGATTATCAGATCCAATCCTTACGCTCCGCTGTAAGATATTCCATACTAGATTGTTATATTTTTAGTTATAGTTCGCAACTGTACATGTATCTAGATCAAGCTGCCACCGGAAGAACGAAGCATTCCTTTTGGCTCTTTTTGGCTGGCGCTATATGAATAGCCACATTGCTCTCTTCAATGTTTTGGTAGAATCTGTTATCGATCGAAAAGCAATATATTTGGAATAGCCTTCATTTCTGCATGATTTTGAAAAAGGATTGACAGGATTCTTATGATGCTTAGAAGTTAGAAGGCCTGGAACTTGGTTTAAACAATTCCTTTTGAATATCTTCTTGAATGCACTCTAAAAAAGTCATTTCTTCTGCAGGTGCATGAATGGAGACATAAAGCTGTTTCAGCTGTGAGCAAAACAAAGGAGTTACAAGCACAAGTGTCAATGCTCCACGGAGAGCTTGACAGGTTGAGGAATGAAGAAAGCACAAGAGTAATGAGGGCCAACAGCTCGCCATTTATTCCCCGAAATCCACAGAATGAAATGGAAAAGCGGGTACTGATTTGTCATTTGAAGGAAAATCAGCTTACCAAAGAAGACAGCCGCAAGCAAAGGGTGGGTTTAACAGATGGAAGAAATAAACCAGACACATGCACTAACAGAACAACTATTGTGCCGAAGAGATCACCATTTCGAGACATGGGAAACACCTCATTTGCTGCCAGGCAGAACCCCAAAGCAATCTTCCATCTGCCTTGTCATCCACCTTCCAAAACATAGAAAAGTTTTGAGATTCAGTACGTGGATAATCTTGGGAATCTTCATCTTCTGTAGGAAAATCTTCCTCTTTTCTGACCATGTTAACTGTACGGCACATTGGAAGGTCTTTGTTCTAATTTCAATAGGAGATCGAGCATTACCAATTCAAGAGGGTTGGTGGGTTGAAATCCTGAGTTTCCAATATTTGTCGTGGATTTCGACTTACTGAATCAATTACTTGCCAACAAATATGGTCACTTATGGTACTTGCTCTCAAATTGCTTGATGGGTGTCGAGATGGGCTCGAGTTGTTTTCTCGAGAGTCTCGGGCAATGAGACTAGACAAACAAAGAGTTTTAATGAAATTAAAAAAATAAGGTTATTAGGTTCAATTCTCGCCAAAGAAGAGTTTGAACCATATTTTTGTTAGCCCATTGTAAGGCTTAGTTGCCCACCCACACCCCCCTGCCCCCAAAACCGCATTTGGTATAATAAGTTCAAGACACATAAGGGCTCTAACCATATTCCGGCTCGTGATCAATCCATTGGATACCAATGGAAAATAAGTACATGTTCAAGCATTGATGAGGCGATATTTTACTATATATTTTACCCTATTCTTAGTATTAATCTATTTGTTATTTTGGTAGAATGTTGATATTTTGTTATATATTTTCAATGTAGGACATGCGACTTCATCTGTTGCAAAAAGTGATCAAATGGATGAATTTTGGAGTGATTCCAATTGGAGGATGTTCGTGAGTCTTTCAAGATGATTGTATTAAAGGTCCACATTTTTCTACCAAGCTGTTTGACCGTGGCAATGAAATAAAGACCCAGCGTGCAACTTTCCCAAATTAACGTTTCTGGACGTTTTGGGTATTTTAAAGGTCAAGATGACATATTTTGAGGAAGATTCCCTCTACAGATTTGTTAAGGACGTCTCAAGCTTTAAAAGATACCTTTTGGGACCAAATCAGAGTTGATTTAGTCGGTCAAAAGTCTTATTTTCTGATAGGTCCGAATTTCAGTTTAAATAGGAAACCTTTTATTTTATGTTTAGTTATTTTATTATGTTTCCTAGTTTTATTCTAAGACCTTTTAGGGGTTTATTTTGTAGTAGTATAAATAAAGATATTTAGCCATTAGGATAGGAGGAGAGAAAAGAGAAGAACGCACAGCTTTTGGATTTAATTTTATTTTCAAGGTGTTGTCTATCAGTGATTTTAATGATATTTTGTTTTATGATTGTTCGTAACTAGTTTCGTTTGCTAGGATGAGGCCACAAGCCTTAGCAAGAATATGTAGTTTCTTTTTAATTTGATTATGATTTTACGCATGCGTCTTTTGAATTATTAATCACCAGTTTAAACTATTTAATTGTCTTGATGATTGGCCACCATTAAGATATTTAGAAAAGTAGTTTGATGCAATTTTGGTCGAGGGCTGTCTCTGAATTTGGTGCTGGCTTCTTGTGGTTAATATGTGTAACATCTTAGAATGGACGACACATCTTAAGGGTTATATGGTTTTTCAAAAGGTTTTCACAAAACTTAATGAGTCTTGCATGTTCACATTCAATCTGGTACATTCTATGTTGGAGGTTCCAAGTAGGGCATACTTTAGAAAAACCTAACCTTCAAAATATGCATGGGTAATTCATAAGTGATTGGAAGAACTACGTAGGATTGTTAAGGGAACGGCGGAACCCTAGTGTCCATTTATCATTATTTTCTAAGATTGTTTCCATTATTTTCTAAGATTGTTTCCTTTCAAATTGATTTCTTTAATTGTTTTAATTTAAAATTCATTTTTAATATTCTAGGTCATAAAATCAACTTTTTCCAAACTTTGTTTTCAAATAATTAATTAAGATTTGGTATTTACATCAATTATTTATTCAATCCTTGTGGAGAATGACCTTACTTGAACTGCTATACTACGATAACCTTGTACTCTTGCAAGTATTTTTAAGTATTTTTATTCCTACTTTTGCAGGTGGTAAAATCCCTATCAAGCATCATTGACCAACTCCTTATCAATTTCGATTCATTATAATATGAACTAAACAACAATTCAACATATTCAATTGATTAGAATTAAAAAAAAGTACGGAACAAAGGCAGATTTTCTATCTTAGTGTAGATAGTACCGCTTGTTAAATAAATAAATAAATAAAAAATAAGATTATTTAAGTATTTTCACATTTTAAAAGGGTCAAAATTTATGAGCTTTGAGAAACGGGGGCAAAAGCCTCTAGAAAATGCTCCCCCAAACAAATTTCAAGTAACATTGTCCCTTGGTAGGTGCTTTTGTACCCAACAAGATCCTCTTCGGATCCTCTTTGTGACGATTATGAGGATTTGTAAATTTTGTCCATTTATCGTATATCGTGCAATTAGTTTTCGTTAGGTACTGTTTATGTTTAATTTTAAATAAAAAAATTTAAAATAATTTATGACTACATGATGTACAATGAACGGACACAATTCACAAATCCTCGAGATCCTAACAAAGAGGATCCAGAGAGAATCCAGATTCCTTTTATAGGAAACTCATTTTCATGAAAAATAATGGTTTGTTTGGAAGTGTTTTTAAAATTGTTGAAAGTACTTTCCAATGAAACTGTTTTTGGAACACATTCTTAAGTAAAAATGCAAGTGAATCCTGAAAAAGCACTTGGAGTGCTTCTAGAACCCAAAATATTTTCTTTAAAAGCCCTCTCAGTCATTTTAAAAGCGCTTCCAAACAAGCCGTAGTTAAGTGTTGTGGTAGTCGCAAAGCTAAGTACTATGAAAAATTACCAAAATGAGAAGAAAATGAAATTCCAAAAGAATGAAGATCGTTAGGATCCAGTGACTCATGATTTTGACACACAATTTGACACACATTTTTGTGGGATCCACTCTGCATTTCAACGATCCAATTGTTTATATTTTTGTACATCATTTATGGATCATTCTCGCAAAAAATTAGAAAAATCAAAAACCATTAAAGCATTTGTTTGTAGTCAAGTGGATGAATATGGTTCTACAAAGAAACAATAAATTTAATCAAGCGGTCATATAATTTTCTGATTTTGGTGATCTTTGGTAGGCATATCATTGAGGTAAGATATAAAAAATAGACGGTTGGATCTTTGAAATACTTTATAAAGTGTGCATCACAAAAAAGTACGTAAAAAACATATGTTCCCAAATGCCTCTCTATAACGATAAAGGAACGTATCTATATATAAAGACAACACTAACGTGAATAGTGTTTTTGGTGTCATAAGCTTCAACAAAAATATTTGGACCAAAATGCCCTTCAACAAAAAAACTTCAAAAGCAGCCTAATATAATACATCAAATAATGCAGGGGTATCTTCATCATTTTAATAGTGTTTTTTAATAATTAGGTTTTTGTACCGTTTTTATTTTATTTTATTTACAATTAGTACCTTACAATATGTTAGCAATGATGTAATTCAATAAGCTGTTCATTATACAATATTTTCTCTATTTCAAAACATCTTCAGAGGCACGTAATGCCTGTTATAAAAAAAGTTTTCACAAGCGGATAATAAGATGATTAAATTAGTTCTCAAATGATTATTTTTTTAACAAACGATATTATCTATACTAACGAGGAGGGGATGGGCTTAGCCTCACAATGAGCTAGCAATAATGTGATTCAATCAGTTGTTTATTATATATTATTTTCTCTATTCTTAATGTAAATTCTATAGAGACCGATTTTATTATGTGAATTCAACTACTTTAACTTTAAATATTTGACTTTCCTTTTGTCAATTTATGCATATAAATACATTTAAAATGTGTAAATTGTGCATAACACGCCGTGATTAAAAAAAAAAATGCCTTTTACACAAGCGTAAGAACGTGGCTAGTTTCATCTATAAAAAGGGCGTAAGATTACAATTAAAGGAAGAATATTAATTGACGTCTTTTATATTTGAAAAAAAAAATAATAAATAAATAAATAAACATCATTTGAGACATAAAAACTCACAAACAATTAATCGAGGGATCAGAAAAACACCACTAAACCAATAAACCAATATAGAAGGTCATTTTAGAATTTTGAAAATAAAATTTTTCACGTGAAGTAGATCTGGCATTCGTGTCATGTTTTCCATGTTCGTGTTATTTTCATGTCATACCCGATATCTTAACGGGTCGTGTCGTGTAACACCCGTTAAAATAAACGGATAAAATGACCCGATAATATTAACAGGTAATATGACCCGACCCGTTACCTGTTAAGGAAAATATATTTTAAACCAATAAATAATCAAATGAAAAACATAATAATAAATAAGTATATACATACCATATTGTTACATCCAAAACATAAAAAACGCATTTGTCTTTTAAGTATATTTTCACTTACCTAAATTGATCAAATGGTAAAATTGAAAAATATTGGAATAGAGAAGGGGTTTTTTCCTCCAACAAAGTTCTAATAATATAAGTGAAATAGAATCCAACTATACAGATTTACTCTCATTTATCTTACAGCTGTTATTTAAGTAAAGTCTTTAATAGTTTTTTTAATTAATGTAGAAGTGTAAAAAATATAGGAAAAAATATATATAAACGCTCGTAATGCCAAACTTTACAACTTTCATGAAGAGCTTAACTTCGAAATTCGCCACTTAATTGTGATAGCCCGTTCCGGATTATTCGTACCGTAGGGGTGAAATGACGATTTTGCCCCTAGTGGTTATGTTTCGTTGTGTGGTTGTTTTGGGGTTTTGGTTGGCTGCATTTGGACCACACACACACACCCATACTTTCATCCTCATCACCTTCCCTGTCCCGTGTCTCTTTCTCTCCCTTCGACGTTTTTTGTACGGACAATAACCAAAGCACTCGAAAACGTTATGGATCGAAGTTGAAAACTATATGTTTGTGTTCGTGAGGACCATACGAGTTCAACCATACCCATTTCAGGTAAGGAATCCTATGATTTCACATCGAACTTGAGATCCCCGATTTGGTCACTGTTCATGCACATGTGAATTGTTGCGTTTCAGGGAATTTGAAGCTTGTAGGAAGCTTGGTGAGGTCCTTAAGAAGCTCGGGGTGGTTCGTTTAAAGGTTTTGGACGTCAGGATCATGAGTTGCAGGTTTGGCCAGAGTATCGTGGGTTTTTCCGGCGAGTTTCCGTTGGTTTTAAGGCTCCAAAGTGGTAAGGTTTTGTTCCATTTGTTGTAAGCTTCATTTTGGTACCAATTTCATGGAATTTGGTTGAAAA